TGAAATCCCTATGATGCGTTCAAGTCACCACCCTGTATATGTATCACATATAGAATGGTGTTTTACTTTATTATGTTTTTTAATGAAAAAACAAATGTTTTCCCTTATAGCGCGTTCGCACCTCCAAATGCAGTATAGTGCTTATGGACATACAGTACATGCTTGCCAAACGTGACAATGACAGCACAACGAGATTATGTTTTGTTTTAATACTTCAATTTAATCATACGTCAATTTGACATCAATGTGGTTAGAAACAAAGATAGTATTATCGAAGAATGACGCAAACTAGTAAGAGAGGTAATTAGTCCATAAGACCCTATACTGCATCTGGAGGTGCTGCGAACGCGCTATAGGAATAATGTGTTCCATATAGTTAACTATTTTTTTTATCGTGATTTAATCAAGTTAAAATCTCAGTGTCAGTATCTTCGGAACTGTCTGTATCAGACATTAGTTCCATAAAACACTTCATACTATTTACTACAGACATAGCAACTGCATTTCGATACATCGTTTCTAAGTAGGGATGCCACCTGTACGGTTTTCACTCAGACAGTCCGGTTTTTTAAAAATTTGTCCGGAGTCCTGGCACGCGATGAAAATGTTCGGAAATATCTCAATAATTCGTGACGTCGAGCAATTTTAATAACCCACTATAGGTACCAATTTTTTCCATTAAAAAATATGTTAAGTAGGTATGTGGCGCTCTCTAGTGCAATAAACTACAAACTGTAATTAAGTGCGGCGTTTTATTTTTGAAAATAAATCATAATAAAGTATGTTTATTTTATAGCAGGTTTAACTTGACATTTTAATAAGTTTGAATGAGTAGGCTCTCTCTTGAACCGTAAGAGTAGATAAAGTGATCACTTTAATGGCAAGAGTACTGGGTAATGAAACAAATGTGCAATGAGCTCTGTCATTCTTAATAAAAATGGAACGTGGGGCACGAAATAAAATAAAGTTCAGAACAAAGTACAATACTGTTTCCATGGAAACGACGTGATAACCAAGGAAGGGAAAACCTAAAGTTGCTATTTTGGACGTCTAAATGAAATATCTGGCTTCCGCTATAAAATGAAGTTTTTTGTATTATACTCGACGATAAAGGGAAACTAACCATCTTGTGAAAGTTAATTCAATCCATGGTTAAAACATACCTTTATCGTACATATGTATCTCGTAGTTTACGTTCGGGTTTTCAAAATTTAAAAGGTGGCAACCATATTTCTAAAAGGCCGCTTGACATGGAGCAATACAACGCGCAAGAACTTGCAGAAAGAAATTGCAAGGTCAAATCCTTGCATGCAATAAGCATTGCATGGTATTTGACATGGTGCAATTCTATTTCAATTGCCACATGCCTGCCAACAGAAGAAACATATGGATTTGTCAACAAAGTAGTTAACCTCAAATGAAAATTAAATTTTGATTGCTTGAAGAAACATAAAAATTACAAAAATAAATAAGATTAATAAAAACAAGTAATGTGTGCGTCTCTCAGCATCATAGTTGCCGCCGCTGTATTTTACTAGGTTGGTGACACAAAAACAACTAGATTTATCCCTAGAATTGCACGATTCATGCAAGAAGAATAGCACCGGTCCTATAAAAATTGCATGCAAGTCTCTTGCAGCAATTGATCAGCTGGCTTTGAACTGCGCATGCCTTTCGCAATTTTTCTTGCAACTTGCATGCAATTGCAATTTTTATTGCTCCATGTCAAGCAGGCTTAAAAGAATGGTTAGATGAAATCAAGCACTCAAGTCATCATAAAGAAAAAGTAGGGTTATTTAACAGGATTGCTTAGATAGGTTAGGTTAACAAGTCATTGTTGTTCAGAAATGTAGATACACGAGAGCGCACTCTGGACTAAATTACGTAAACCCTCGTTTAAAGTACGCTCTACTCGCTCTCCAAATTTCTGAACGCACCCCAGCAATAACTATCTTTCAAAAATGTAAATATTCCCATGATACATCGAGAGATAACGACACATTTTGTGGGATGATTAGTAAACGTCTATCACTGCAATTTTCTCTTTACATAGGTTAGAACTAGCGCATAAACGGTTATCATACATTTGTTGAGAAGTCCAATCTATTTTTATGTGATTTTTCAAATTTTGGCAACACAACAAACAAAAGTTTATTAATAAACATCTACAACTAATGCATATAATTATGAAAACAGTTGATATTTCATATTGAGTGTCAAGGTGGGTTCATAGCTCTCCGTTCATCCGTTGCGTTGATCCGACAAACGGATATTGAAATTTGTTAAGGTTCATAGCAATCCGTCCATAACGTACGTTTACAAGGTATAACCATAACCTAAATTTTATTTTGTACTGTACCCACCGTGATCTTCAGTACGTAGAAACTACTATCAGCTTATCACCGCGAAGAACGTAATAGGCGAACACTGTTAAATTTGCTCTTAAACGTCAACAGTATAACAAACATAACCTTACTCTTGTTAAAAAATGGATCAACGGAAACGTAAATGTTCAACTTCAACCAACTTTTCCGTTGTAATTGGACAACGTACGGTTTAAAAATTTACTGTATTCTGATTGGCTAACGCACAAACGGAAACGTATGAACGGAGAGCTATGAACCCACCTTAAATCACGCTTTTTTTGGCAATTTTTGGAAAATTATATAAATCATGCTACGAACTGAATAGACAATGAAGAACGTCTGTCAATGTTCTAGCGCCCTATTATGTTCTCTCTCCAATATTATTTTAAAATTGATGGCATATGTGCATTAATAAACTTTTGTCTCTTTGTCAAAACTTGCAAACTTACAGGGCTTCGTCACTAGCATCTGAGCTTCGCCCTTTTACATTGTATATGTATAGTAAAGAATGTTTTATGGTAAAAATAACTGTACGTGATTTATAAATGGCATTATTATTATTATAAAAATAGATTGGACTGCTCAACAGACGTGGTAATTGTCGCAGAAAATCTGTTGTTATCTCTCGGTCTATGACTGAATTATACAAAGTGCGCCTTAAGTACCGGCACGAACGAATATCTGGGTTATCTATGAACTGATTTCTTCCCATAATGACAATTTTTTAAGTTGTTTAATAACTTAAAATTTTTTTCATGGAACACCCTGTATATTTTTTATTTTTGAATACGTAATAAAAAACACGCTAAAAAATACTAGCACCTCTGTATTCAAAAATTTTAAAAATCAAACAGAAAATGAAAAAATTGTCCCACTTCCTTGCTTTTTAGTAACGTTTACCTCTAATTTGAAAAAACATCCATTTACAGATAACCAAGATATGCAACCGCTCCGGGACTTGTGGCAAACTCTTTATATAATTACCAAGTAAAACAGTGTGGTTTTCTTGCCGTTCTACGACCTAGCATTTCTTCTAAGACATATATGGGTATCCTACAGACCTTACAATGAATTAAAAACGACGCTATGTTATAGGTGTTTTAAAGTTTTGGAACGAAAAGAAACAGCACGAGCCGTACTAATATAAGCCCTAATCCGTTCTTGACACTTACTCATTTTACTAACTATAATTAAAGAACAAAACCATGTTGTCAGAGAGCTTTTGTGGGAAATTTAGTACTCTACAATTTATCTTCTACAAATTTTCTATTTCTCTTACATTGAATCAACCATTAACTCGATGGGAAGACTAGGATCTAGGGTTCAAACTTGTTACGCTGACAGTATGATTTTAGAGTAACGTTGTGGATTTACTCTTTACTCAAACCCTTGTTATATCATGCTCGATGATTCAAAATAAGCAAAAAAAAACGGAATAAGATCATTATTAAGCAGCAGCCATTTGATTTGCTTTGCAACATTTCAGTGCAGAAAATGGTGAAATATGATTAATTATACCACCTACGTCAGGTGTGAATAACAAAATAATTAGAAGTTACCTACTGTTTGTTTATATACACGATAAATAGATGCTAGTATTAACATACTTATGCCTGCGTATCTTTGCATATTATTTCCTATTCCGACACATATGATTTTCAAGTTACTATGAAGCTAAGTCTAAACTGAGCACAATGGTGGCTCATAAATGTTTCATCGCTAATGCTATTTGCACTTGTGAAATGAGCTCTTGAACTCCGAATATCACAACTAGAATAAATTGCACAGTATCAAAAGTAAGGGGTATGAATGGATGGGGATCAGCGTCAACTCTTCTGATCAAATCAAGGACGTTAAAAATACGTCGACATGGTATTGTGCTATTTATTGTGATGCAAACTTCTTTTTTTTTAAGAAGAACAATGATTTTATTAAGGAATGGTTGAGCTTATTGAATTTAAAAAAAAAACTGGCAAAAATCTGTGGAATATGATCGCAACATGAAATATGTGCTAGATTCAATCATACAAGCACACATTCTGTTGTGATAATCATTTTGTTGATCCCGTTAAAAATTTAAACATGTAACGCTACTGTTGGTGGAGGTAACCTTAGAGAAGGAAAGAAAGAGAATAATGATCGTAAAGAGAAGCCAAGTAATTTGTTTTTGCACCCAAAACATGGTCACCTACAATTCATTGGCGTAAGGTGAAAGCAGTAGATACATATTGCCAATACAAACGTATTTAAACAAGTACCAATTGTGTCTGCACGGCAGGATACGATGCGTTATAAATTCATGCATATCTTTTCTGTTCATTATAATATTATACAGTGATATTCATGTAGAGGTAAACATAGGGATTTCCTATGTCTACTTTTACAGGGTAAAGTCTTCTAAAGGACGCCTAAGTTTATGCAACCAAAATAACTACCTACAACAAATGAAGATCTGCCTGTCATATTAAATAATTTGAATATTATCGCTTTGACTTCAGTATTCTAATTTTCGTTTGTGTGCGATGTATTCAGCTAAAGAAAAAATTGATATTTCCAATTGGTATAGTGCCGATAACAGTTAAAGGAGCTTAAGAGATTTATTTTCTGTGAAGCCAAAGCAACAGAATACAAATTAATAATTAATATGACAGCCAGATCTTTATTTGTTTCAAGAAGTTATTTTGATTGCACAAAAATTAGGCGTCTTTCCGAAGAATTTGAAGGTACACAGAAAATCCCTATGCCTACTTCTACATGAATGTCACTGTATAAGTACAATGGAGCTTAGATCATATAAACATGGATGGAGCGATGCAATTACACTATGTCGCCAACATGTTCTGATTCAAGACTCTACATACTTTTGTGCTGTATCTCTCTTGTCGACGTACAATTTATATGTTGTTATTCCATGTACAGTTTCAGTGTTAGTAACCAATCAGAAAATTCAAATCTTTAACCTCACAATGTTAATAAACAATGCAATATTTATTATTTAGGGTAAAAAAGGTTCTCAATACATGAATAAATACATCTTTATAGGACAATTTAGTGGTACAGAACAGTATTAAAAGTTTAGTTTCATATATAACCATGTAAAGTCAAGCAAGGTTAAACAACAAAAACAGCTGTTTGCGAATATTCGATGTCAAACGGACAAACGTTCTAACAATCGCTAAGCTTGCGCACTTTTATAATCAACCCGGCAAAGGATAAATACATTACAACTTACTAATAGTAAAAGATGATAGGCATAAAAATGCACGTTGGAATGTTGGCGACGGTTGTCTTTTAGTAGAGCTTATGAGATAGCTCTATCCATGTTTATATGATCTAAGCAATGGAGGTACGCCACTGGCCAAGAAATGCAAACAGCTGATGCACACGAAAATGTGCCTCAATGCGCAGTATTGCTTTTGATAGTCCCCTTTCTTTCATAGTCTAAGGAGGTAAGTGTCATTCCTCCTTCACACCCGCACCTACGTTTGTTTCAGTTTCACTTCGTATGATAGCTAGAGAATGCTGTGTCCCGATATTTTTAACGTCCTTGGATCAAATGTAATGTTAATAAATTATTGTACTTGAGAAAATTCAAGCAGTATAAATGAGAATATATGTGCGAGATCTTGTATGGTACATATCTACATATTTACCGTAGAAAAAGAGGATGAACACTAAAAACGACTATATACATGTCTTTAATACGAACAATTGCAGAGAAACGATTAACTCAACTCACGAATGTCCTTCACACGTATCCTAAATGCTCCAGGTCCTGGTGGAGGCAGAGGATTTTCCAGTTTCGGTGTAACACCAAGTGGTTCTGGACACACCCTCGTTTCAGCGTTTATATTATTTAAATAGGGCATCTCGAATATGGAGTTGGTGTGGATAGTCTCCTGAGATACGCCATTTAGAAGTGCGCCACTCAAATTCGATACGTCCGAGTTCATAGTGAACACCGGCTGCTGTTGATAATAACTGTGATCTTGATGCTCTTCGAATGGCGCCATCGAATTATCGGTTATAATTGTAGACTCATAATGGGGCAGGGGTACGTTGGGAGTTTCGACGATTTGCATGAAGTTTGTCGATTCCGAAATGCCGCAATTGGGATTGGTATTGAGGGCACAGTCAGGGCCAATTCGATTGTATCGGTTTAGAGCAATAGGAGTCGATTGGTCAATACGATTGTTTAAATACAGCCCGTAGACTATATTGGGAGATTCCAATTGGTTAGGTGAATTATTGGAGAGCAAAAGAATACGATTAAAATTATTGCTAATGGTGTTTTTCAGTTGCGAAGTTGGCTGTTGCACGGTTTGACCGTCGGGTATTTCTTTAAAATTATTAGCAGTGATTTGAAAGTGAGATACTTCTCCGGTCCCGGGTCTTGTAAACCGTAAAATATTGGCAGACTTTTGTGATTTTGCGGCTAGTTGAGATGATCTCGCTTTTCGACCGTGATTATCATTTACTAAACTAGTAGGTACAATAGGAAGAACAAGTTGATCAATATTATGATTAATATTATTAAAATTCAATACTGACGTTGGATAGTTGCTAGAGTTGATAGACCTCCGTCGAACCGTTTTCTTTTTGCCCGTGCTTAGTACATTTGGCAACAGGTTAGGTACAATGGGAGTAAGTGGGGGAGGATATGTTTGAACTAATCCAGGTTGATCAACCCTTGACAATATGAGATTTGGTGCACATAAAGCATTATTCATGAAACAGTGCTTTATCAGATGCATACGCATTGCATCCTCATTTGGCATTCTTCGCTTACATGTCCGACAACGTAAGTGAATTTCACAGTGGTTTGACAATTCTTTAGGCGTTTTAAACTCTTGTGAGCAGAAAAAACAGCACAACTTAGCCGATTCAGAATCTGGCAACATTGCATCATTATCTTTCCTTGCCACATTTGTAACCACTCCATTTTCGGAATCATTAATTATATCACTCAGATGAAAGGATTTCTTACGTAGTGGACCTTCCAATTCCAAATCCGAGCGCCGCTTTTCAGTTTCTTTCGGAGAGCAATCCTCTGTACTGTTATTGTTGTTCGAATTCTGTAAGTGCACTTCACCTACGCTATCATTAGTAAGTACATCAGTGGAATCCCAAGAGTCACTTTCACAGAAATTCATCATCTTCGCCCTACTTTCTCTAGGCGATATCGGCTCGTCGTCATCGCCCAAAATTTCAATCTCTTCACTCTCCTGATCGGACGGTTTCTTCAACTTGTCTAACTGTGTAGTGTACCAATCTATCACCTCTTGGCTATCCAAAACTATGACCGGATCAATGTCGGCATTTATAATCTCTTCGGGAACTGTTAAGCTATCGATTGTTCTAAACAATTTATCTACCGACTGATGTTTGTTTCTTATAGTGGGAAAGTATTGAGTTTTTATTCTACCTGGTCTATCGTAACTTGAATTGGGTATAGGTCCCAATTTCTTCGATATTGCGCATACACTTTTTTGGCTATTAGAGTCTGATAAAAGCGGTAATTGTGCTGGTGAAAATAAATATGTAATACTGTAATTATCTGTACGACTATCATGCGTTATTTTAAGGTTATCTAATTCTTTTTTTAAATCTTTCAATTTTTCACCAAATACTTGATTTACTTTTACAGACGTATTGCAACATTTATGTTTGATCTTCAACATATAATTGTCACTTACTTTTGCTATAGATAAATCCGACAAATTATCTATAAAATTTTTTATTTTTTCCGTACACCAATTATGCAGTCGCTCATTTTCTAAGCGCACGACCGGATTCATATTAATTCTGAACAGGTCGTGCGATAGCAAAACATCTTTATATGTATCCATTATGTTTCTAATTGATGGATGTCGATATTGTTTATACTTTACTTTTACCACCCTTCCTCTTGATCTCGATTTACCAAGTATTTTTATATTTTTATACTCTTTTACTGCCTGCTTTTTTGCAATTTTCTTAGCAATAACAGCCGGAGCACTTTTAACAGTAGCAACACTTTTCACAATCGGAGCACTCTGCTTTACTTGTACGTACGTGTGATCATTTAATGTTTGTAGACCATCACCGTTATCCATGGATAAACTTAGCAACTCCAATGGATCGTGAACTACAACTGGTTGCTGTCCTTTGCTTTTACCATTTTCTTTATTGACGGTTCTGTTTACTTTCTTCGCTTGCATTTCACTTCCAGGCACATGCACCTACAATTAATCGAAAAATTAGTAATTAATAAACCATACAGCTTCTATATAAAGAACTCGTCTGACAAATCAATTAATCTTTATAGTATATATAAAATAAAAAAATAAACTTCCTGGAAATCGATTACTTTTTTCAAACGCAATACCTGTGTTTTTTGAGATCTTTGAAATAAGCAATGAATTTGCTGTATGACAAAATATGCATACGGTTGATATACAAAAAGACAATATTTAGAAAACTTATGAAATCTAGCATGCCATGTGCCGTGTCTCACGGGAAGATCATATCGCAAAACAGTAAATCTTCAAAACTGAACATTGAACAAGTTGATGGACGGCATTTCTATGTAACATAACGATACCACCGCGAATCCTGACAGCACACGGCATGCTAGATTTTATAAGTTTTCTAAATATTGAATCACGCATTTCTGCATTTTTTTGTTTATCAACCATATGCATAAATTATGTTGTCGTACGGCAAATTGATTGCTCTTTTCAAACATAAATAAACAGAAGCATTGCATTTGAAAAACAAAAGTTGCATCGATTTCCAGTTTCATCAGAAGTGATACCGGAAGCTTCAATATGAGATCGAATAGATCGTAATGTCACATATAAAATTATACTTGACAAATTTTTCGCTATAGCCTTGAGCTCTTTTTGTAGAACATACTGTGTACTAGGTATAGTATATTGCACCTGCATAATTTGTCATTAAACAGTTTGAAGTTTGATGTCAAGTAAAATGATATTGTCTATAGTTCTTATTAATTCTTTGTTTTTTTCTGGACTTATGCAATTTTAACAAATAATGCAACACATATTGTCATTTTGCCTAAGTCCATAGTTATCAATTTTACATAGTAGTAGAAAATCATATCAAAATAGTGGCGCTATGGCATTGGGCCGCAAAGGGAATAGACCGCAGACGTTAGACCGTGAACGTTAGGACGCATACTTGGCACGCAGACAATGGGACGCGGATATTAGGACGCAGAAATTAGGACGCGGACATTAGGACGCGGACAGTGGGACGCGGACATTGAGACGATCACCTTACAAAGCAGAGATTAGGTCGCAGGTAGGACAATAAAAGGTATAATTAAATTAAACCGATGTTATTTTACTTATTTCATCTGTGTATGCGCTCTAACGTCTAGTCCTAGCCTAGGATCTATGTCCTAATGTCTGCGTCCCAATGTCTGCATCCTAATGTCCGCGTCTTAATGTCTGTGGCCTATTTCCTTTGCCGTCTGTTGTCTTGCGGCCCAATGACGGTATCCTATTGTCTGCGGTTTAATGTCTGGCGGCCTAATGCCCGGTCACCCAAAATACTGTGTATTTCATTGGCATCACACGATTTTTATTTTATAACCTACAGAGCGATTCTTTTAAGACAATTCATACATACAATTTCATTATGTATAATATCATTCATATCAAAGCATTAGAAATTTTAGATCTGCCGGTAATGCAGAAATTCATCTATCATATGACGGTCGCCACTTGTCAATCCTAATAAGATGGCGGATTCAGGTAAAAATGCTATGTCATTTACGTGTTGCGTAGGTAAAAGGTAATATCCAAACAGATACAACGTACAAGATAATTCAAAACCCCAACAGGATTGGGGGAAGTGAGGAAATTTAAGGGAAAGTTTGAGGGAAGATAAAGCCCTAAGAAACTTATTAATAATAATAATAATAATTTATTTTATTTTTTTTGTATATATAAGTGTATATGGTTACAATAACTTTGCAAAAGAAAAATAAAATAATGGTACCCACAAAAGCAGAGCTTGTGCGTGGGGGTTCAAGCATGGTATACACCGAATTGAAAAAAAACAAAAAAAAAAAAAATAAAATAAAAAATAAACATGGACCAAATGTAAAAATAAAGACTGACTGATGCTCAACCTTTACCCTATATCATATCAATAACAACGCTTATAAAATTCTTTCCTATTTAAAATAAATTTTTTGACACTATTTTTGAAACTATTGAGGGAAGTTTTTCTTTTTATATCCTCAGGCAAAATGTTAAAAAATCTAGATGATAAATAAGAAATAGATTTTTGACCAATCCTTTTTCTGGCTGCACATGTTACTATATTACTCCGGTGACTTAATCTAGTGAAATGCGGATGGCAGATAAAGTTTGCTAAGTGTTTTTCACGGAATTGTTTCATTACTATTTTATAGAAAAAAAGTTGTTTGATGTCGTATACACCCGCCTCTTCGTATAACAAACTAGAAGAATACAAGCGACTCTTTTTATAGATTATTTTAAGAAACCTTTTTTGTAAGACTTCTAACTTGTAGAGTAACGTTCGGTAAGCGCTACCCCATACGACAATTCCGTACGAGATTCGCGACTGAACTAATCCATAATAAATGGTTTTCATTTCCAGTTCACCTAAAAAATTGGATAAGTATTTAAATTTATATAGTAACGGCCGTAAATTGTTCAACACGTGATTAACATGGGTATTCCACTTTAAGTTCGAGTCTACTGCTATTCCCAAATACGTGGTGCTAGTCGCAACCCGAATGTTTATCATACTGCCATGATTATTAATTTGAATGCTGTCAAATGTTGGTAACGATTTAGCATTGCAGGAAAATGGGATTATCACAGTTTTGTCATAATTTATGGTTAATAATTTATGATGAAAACTATCAATAATTTTATTAAAATCATGTTTTACGCAGTTTTCAAGATAGGTCCAAGAAGAGTGATTGTACAACACAACTGTATCATCAGCAAAACTAAATACTTTACCACTAGTGTGAATGTCAAGTATGTTATTAATATAGATATTAAAAAGAATTGGTCCCAGCACAGTGCCTTGAGGAACCCCATATTGCACTACCTCTGTGTTACTCAAACTGTTACCTATTTTGACAATCTGTCGTCTGTTCGCAAGATAAGACTGCATGAGATTAAATGCGACACCCCTAAACCCTAAAACCGACAATATATTGAGCACCTGAGAGTGACAGACCGTATCGAAAGCTTTGGCTAGATCCAGAAAAATACCAAGCGCATAGTTACCTTCATCAAGTACTTTGTGTACGTCATTCATTACAGCACACATTGCATCCTCAGTAGATACTCCTTCACGGAATCCAAATTGATTATTTGATAAAATGTTATGTTTTCCAAGGTAACTCTCAATTCTTATTATTTGATTAATTTTTCCAGTATTTTGCCAATGTTAGATAGCAAGGATATAGGCCGATAATTACAGGGGTTTGTTTTGTCGCCCTTTTTGTGTAGGGGTATAATTACTGCACTTTTAAGTTTCTCGGGGAAAACGCCCTGCTCAAATACCTTATTAAATATGTAAGTTAACGGCTTGGATATTTCGTGTTTAATTTCCTGTAAAGTTTTTACTTGAATTGAGTCTATTCCCGGGGCTTTTTTTCTATTAAATGAGTTTATTAGTCGTAATACTTCTTGTTCATCAGTTGGGAAAAAAATATAGAATTATCTACGTACTTATTAATCGGAGGCGTAGTAGGAGGTAAATGAATTTTGTCTGCCAAGTTTTTTCCTGCATTTGCAAAATACTGATTCATATGGTTGGCCAGATCCATTTCATTTTCAATAATGGCATTATTAGGCAATTTTAATTTAGTGATACAGGACTTGTCTTCTCCACTTCGTTTATTACTACTATTACTAATTGAGTGAACGACTTTCCACAGACCTGTATTCGAATTTTTATTTTTGTTAACTTCGCGCTTATAATAATTCGCTTTTGTTACTTTAAGTAGTACGTTTAGTTGGTTTCTATAGGTTACAAATTCATGTCTATAATCCAAATTCTCAACATTGCTTTTCATTCTTTTGTAAAGTATGTCACGGTTATTAATACATTTAACTAAACCCTTAGTTATCCAATCTGTACGTTTTTGTTTCTTACGAGGGATTTTTACTGTAGCGCTATGTTCTTTAATTTTGGCTGATAACGAATCTATGAAGCGGTTAAAGCAATCATTAGCATCATTTATGTGGTCGAGTGGTAACCACGAATCATTATTCAAATCGCGTTTTAAATTCTTATAATTTATTACCTACCTGAAAAAATACATTTTTGCGGTTATCAGTGAATTTCGAATTGGCAACAAATTTTTCATGCATTTTCAGATTAATTATAGTTGCATAATGATCCGTAATTCCAATTTTTAACACGTATGTTCTAAAAGATTCATAATTAAGTAATCTAGGTTGTTTAATAAATATATGGTCAAGACATGAACTTGTTATCTTAGATTTTCTGGTGGGTATATTGATGGTTGACGTATAATTATGTTCACTCATTATGTCCAAGTAGTTCAAAACATTAATTTCATCGCTCAAGATATCTATGTTCAAGTCCCCTACCAGCAAGTAAAAATCCGCTTTTTGTTTAATATCATTTAGGTATTTATTAAATTCGATTAGAAACAGTTCCGATGAGGTAGATGGGGGTCTGTACATTGCAATAAGCACCAAAGTTTTACCTAAAATCTCAATGGAAATTTGCAGAATACGATGCACATGGACACTTACACAAGTATATGAAAAGTTTAGGGTATTTCTTAAGTAAACAATTACTCCATCATTTTTGTTGATTTGCCCTTGGTTATAAATTTCGTTATATCCTTCTAGCTTAACCAAGTTAATGTCAGGTATTTGCCAAGTTTTGCTAAGTACTAAACAATCAAATGGAGCATGTAACTGGTTAAGGTAAACTTGCAATTCATCTAGATTTTTTGAAATACTAAATATATTTAAATGAAATAATTGAAAATTAAAGTTATCATTTATATTAAGAAAACCGATCTAACATACCTGTGTGATTAGTTGTAAATATAAATCCGTAAAACGCTTCAATGGTAACAGCCAAAACCAAAAGCCCTTATACAAGTAGACACGAAGTCAGTAAAAGTAATGGCGTACAAAGAGAAAAGAAATACAACTCGTGGGCAAGTAAACTTAAGAAGGGATCG